TGGCAGCTCATTTCCTAGGTTAAAGTTTTTCAAAGGTAAAATATGGAAATAGCGAACAGTATTCAAGCTTAAAGTCCATTTAAACAATACAAATCGGAAGCAGAGCAAACACGGACCTCCAAAAACATCAGAGGTGCGATCAGGTATCATGGAGGAGTGAGCATACCCTGCTGACAGGTCACACTCCCAGTGTGCTCCTTGTCGTGATCGGGAAAAAACCGGAAAAATCCGTAGACAATTTAGTGTGTAGATAACGGCCTAACAATAAGTATGGAAAACGTCAGTCAGCATTTGACTTAATGATAGGTTGTCTTCGCTGACAAGGTCATTGTATCGACCATAAAACTTGCGAAATGATTTCAAACGAGACTGTTGATATTCTTGTTTCATCAACTTGTGTGTCAATGCCTTGCCTCGTTTTAAAACTTGATCGTATGTAAAGCATTCTATTGCGTATCGAGTCAACTTGGAGACAAAAACCTCATAAGCAAGTGATAAGGGTATATTGCTACAAAGGTAAGGGAGATTGACGATTGAAAAATCGAAGTCATAACGTTTATCATAAAGCTTTGTTGTTAGGTAACCAATTAAGTCTTTTTCTAGTCAAATATCCAAATATGAATCAAATTTGTCAGACTCTCTGGTATCTTTTATTTCAAGCTCACATGGATATATCGAGTCGACATATGAATGGAAGTAATATTGTTAATCAATAATACGTCGTCGACATATTTGAATGTGGAGTTGAAAGCCACAGCAAGTGTATTCTTCTCATGTAGATGATTTTAAATAAATTCTGATTCATATGAATACAAAAATAGGTCAGCTAATAAGGGGGCGCAATTGGTACCATTAATATTGAAAAAATAACTAAAAAATTTTTTTTCAATTCATGCAGCAAGTGTTATTTCAATAGTATTTGCAATATTGCACCCACTTTTGATAGAGAATTTACTATTGAAATAATTGTTTCAATAGCAGGCGTTATTTCCTCAGTCGTTTTTTTTACGAGTGAAAACTATTGAAATAATATCTACAATGCAATAACGTTTTGACAAAATTCCTTGGAAGTATTGTTTTCATGGTCTTGACGAGAAGATTTGGCTCTACTGTTTATATTGGTAGTGTAGGTTTGTTTGTTTATTGTTTAACGTCCTTGTCGAGAATTTTTCACTCATATGGAGACGCCACCACTTGCTGGTGGAGAGCTACAAATTTTGACCTATACTCGGCACTTAGGGCCATTGAGCAGTGAGGGATCTTTTTCGTGCCAGCACCTACTGCGACACAGGACCTCGGTTTATACAGTCTCATCCGAAGGACCGGTCTCCACGTCCCACAGTGGGATTCGAACCCGCGACGTAAGGATCAACTCCTTACCTCGCGACTCTAGAGCGAACGCTCTAACCACTGCGCCACGCGGGCGACGATAGTGTAGGTAATCTAAAGCTGTAGACGAAAATATTATATACAGAGACAGGGTGTGGATAGAGGTAAGGTGGAGAGCATTGAAATTGTTTAAAAAATTCAGTAGTAAAATGGATGCCACCTTCATACTTGTATTTCATTTTTTTCAACTTTGAAAGATAAAAAAATGTTCACGTTTCAGACGAAAAACAAGTTTTTGAGAAAAAATAAGACATACATTTTTGATAACAATTTTCAACCAGAAAGTCTGTCTACAAACACTGTTGTTGAGCTGATATGCGTACCAATAGGTATGTCTATCAAAGGAATGCATATCCAAAGATGGCGGAAAGCTCGAAAATTTCGAAAGTTTACATGGCTAGATATGCTTATATATTCCTTAATGCGTTCGATGAATCAGAATGTTTTGACAATATATTGTCTTTAAACCTAGCGTTACGGAGATTAATCCATAAATGCAAAATAAATGATATTTTAATGAAAATCCAGATGATATGCCTCCCTACATAATTAGATACATGTATAGACACCGTGTCATTTTGTAAAATACTGGATATGAATACCATGAAAACATAAATCTCTCTTTCTCCCCAGAAGATGAGAAGCGAAATATATTATCCAATTTAACGAGGAAACAATTTATTGATAAAACATTTTTATGCTCCCATAATCGAAGATTATATAGTTTTGGGTCTGTCCGTCTGTCTAGTTGTCTCTCAGTTTACCTGTTAATCTCTTTGTCTGTTTTTCCGCAAAAAGGTAACCTTTCCATTAATTAAAATCAAAAGAATTAATATGCGAAGGTTTATATGAAAATTAAATGCACATAAACATTTAAGAAGTCTAAATTGTAAATAATCACCAAAGAACAAATCAAAATTGATATAAATAAAACTACAAACCATGGGGAAAAAATCTGTGATTTTTCTCCCGTGTAGGTTTAGACTGAACTCAATCAAAGTGCAATTAACGCTAGTCTTTATATTACCCATGAGAGTGGTGCGAGGCAAACAATTTCAGCAACTTAGGAAAGGATCCAAAACTTTTACTGATAAAGAAATTAAAACTGGAAACTTTATTTTCAGAAGACAAGAAGAGGCCTTTCAACATTTCTTCTGTTTTGGGGGAGGGGGGGGGGTGATCTCAATATCGTACGGGATCAATGATAAAAATGAATATAAAATAGAATATATAGAATAGAGGGCATTCTGAATTTCAAACAACATACATAATAAAATACAAAACCTCATTCAAATCAGTTATAAACATATAATGATTAGTTCCTGATTAAATGAAATGTTGAATAAAATCCCTTTATTAATATAAGGAACAAATAAGAAAGTCTGCATATATACTTAGTATTGCATACACATAACATGGCGAAATCAAATTATATATGAAGGTGCTCTATTCACATACATTGACTAATTATAAATTTTTCTACATTTCTTCTAAAAACAGGAAAAGAGGGGGGTAATTTGACATTTAAAGGTAGGTTATTTACATGTACGCCAGAATATTGAAGAGAACTGTGCAACTGTGAAGCGGCTATGTCTTTTCATGACATTCCAACTTTTTAAAGTTTTTGTTCAGATTTGTACAGTTAACACATTTCTTCACAGATCGTCTTCGTCCGATATAGAGTCTCTATCACTCAAATACCACCTGTTCCATTTACACACATATGCACGACTCGCATTTGACATATTTCCTGCTTCCTTCGGCATTATTAGACTTTATTCAGGAGTTTTCCCGAGTACAACACAAAACTGTATCGTTAACTGCTGCTCCGTCACGTTCTACAACGTCATCTTTACGAAAGCCCATTGAGCTCATTTTCGTAGGTTAAAAATATTTTTCGTGTTATAACGCGAATAAACTCGAAACTTTCGCGTTATAACGCATATATATACATATATAGTCATGTTACTCAGGAACCTGTGATCTTGACTGGCAGATAAAAACATGAACACAGACGGGGACTTCTTTGAATTTATAAATGACATTTCTCTTCAGAGGATGTAAAAGAGAATTGATGCAAGAAATGGATAGATTAGTGATGATTTTACATTTAATCTCAAAACCCTACTAATTAATAAAATGAATATTCCTTTAAAGATTTTCTTGTTTTTCACTTGCTGAATCCAGGAAATTCTTTAGACTGATTTTTTTTTCAGGAAGATCTCCACTCGTCGCTTTCTTTATCAAGGCTGTTTTTTCATCATTGAAGTTCACTATAACTTTATCACTAGTAAAGAAATCCATAATTTGACTATAAAATATACACTTTAGAAATCTGGCTTAAATTTGAGGGAATAATGTATCATTTCATGAGCTTAACGTGCCATGTGATGCTTTTTAAAGAATAATTATAACCTGGTACTGTTAATCACAAATTTATCGGGGAGAAGGGATCTACAAAAGATTATTGGGATATAGCTGGAGGTCCGGAGGCGATGTGTCTTTATCATACCTTTCTAATTCCTCCGTCCGACCAAGAGTATTAATTGTACACTCAACTGACTTCCGGCCAAATTCAACAACCGGGTTGCACTACCACACGTGAACTTTTAATTTTAGTGCCAACTTAAATTATCCTTTTTAAAATACATTATGAATGTTACCTGTTAGATTATATCTTTTGAAAAAAAATATCCACAGACTTTCGATTGATTTTAATCAAATTATAAGCAGCTGAATGATATCGCTGAGGGGCGATAAGTAAACATACATGTTATAGTTTGAAAGAGGGCAGGGTTTTTTTTCATTGGTTTTGTAAATTTTTTCAATTACTTTCAGAAGGTTACATACCAAATGATCTATATCAAAACATGGATTCACTAAGATTCATCACTCAGTGCAAAGTACAACAGTGTTCTAAATGTCAGGGTAACACAGACTTCTACTGTTTCACGTGTAAAAATGGATTGTGTCTACAGTGTAAAGAGAAGCATTTTAATTCTCTAGATACCATTAACCACGATGTAGTGATTTATCGGGAGAAAAAAAAGAATCATTCTTAAAAAGGAGCCTTGTGTTCAACATCCAGAGAGAATTTATGAAAAGTTTTGTCGCTCTTGTGAACTTCCGGTTTGTTTTGAATGTAAAGAGCACAAAAAACACCAAATACAGAACATTAGAGCAGCATATATAACAAACCGACAAAAATTTAGAGAAATCATTCAAAACATCAGAAGTGAGACACTCCATTACAGCTTTTCTCTCCTGGCAAAAATCAAAACTTATGTAGAAACTTGTCATACTTCCAACTCTGAAAGGGAAACAAATTTGTCAATTGGGGCCCGGATACTAAAGATATTCATTGTTATCGAAATATATTCTAGAAAAGCCAGATGTGAAAAATATATGATGGACAGACAACTACAACAGACAGAAAGGATGAACAGACACCTTACCAGCATAGAGAACTATGAACACAGATCTGAACATTCAGCAAACAGACCGGTAAAATTCCTAGAATTTCTAAAGAAAACCCGTGTTCCCAAAATGAAAGACATCCTAATCTTACAAAACACGCCCTGATCTCCCTCACTGATAATGGTGAATCAAACATGAACGATGTGATTCTGTTTCATGTACTGAGAGAAATTCAAATCATAGGGACAGTAAAAACACAAGCTACACCATTGGTACACAGATATATAACACTGAAAGGTCTTAGACAAGTAACCCACATTTCCCAGGTGACATCAGACCAAGTTTGGATTAATGACGATGGAACTCTTATTTTGACGAATACAGAAGGTGACACACTGCATCAGCTGACAGATGTAGAAAAGTATAAGTGTGGGATACACACAACTACTATTTCCTGTGATCTTATTTATATAGACGACTACCATAACATTAACAAGTTTTCTATAGATAACAAAACAAAATCTATACTAATAAAAAGAACAGCACCATGGAGAAGACAGTGTGTGTATTGCTCCCCCTCTAATGGAGATCTGCTAGTAGCGAGTACAACTCCATATACAGCCAAGGTAACACGGCATGATGACACAGGGCAACACATACAGACAATACAGCATTTCAATGGTCAGGAACTATATGGTTTACCTGCCTACATAACAGAGAACCGTAATGGAGATATCATTGTGTCTGACTGGAACAGGTATGCTATAATGGTAACAGATCGAGAAGGAGTGTACCGCTTCGTGTATCCAGAACCCTCCTCATCATCGAAGGTAGAACTATATGGAATTTGTACAGACGCACTTTCAAACATTCTGGTGTCTGATCCTAGTACCAGCGCAGTGCATATGATTGACAAAGATGGACAGTTTCTTTCACTGATACAAACACGAAAACTAGGCATAGGTGGAGCAAAGGGCCTCAGTTATGACGAAAAAAATCACCTTCTCTGGATTGGATCGGAGTTCAACAACAGAGTGTGTGTTTACAGATACATAGACAGACAGGACTATCTGACAGATCATTGTAATTAATAAATAAGATACATATATATATAAACACACAAACAGAACTATCTAACATGTGGTGTAATTAAAAAAGGTTTTTTATTTGTTTATTTTTTAACGTCCCTCTCGAGAACTTTTCACTCATATGGAGACTCCACACTTGTCGGTGTAGGGCTAAAAATTAAGACCTTTATTCGGCACTCACGGCCTTTGAGCAATTAGGGATCTTTTTCGTGCCAGCACCTACTGCAACACGGGACCTTGGTTTATACGGTTTCATACGAAGCACCGGTCTCCACGTCCCGCAGTGGGATTTAAATCCACGACATAAGGATCAACTCCTTACCCCGCGACTCTAGAGGAAACGTTCTAACCATTGCGCCACTCGGACGACAATGAAAAAGGTTCAGATAGCGAACAGTGATTGATCATATAAATTCCACAAACAATTCATAACTGTGAATAGGGCATTAAACACTGACCTCCGGAAACTCGAGAGGTTGGATCAGGTGCCTAGGAGGAGTAAGCATCCCGTGTTGACAGGTCACACCACCCGAGCCCTACGTTTTGATCAGATAGACGGAATATTCCGTTGTCAAATTTAGTATAAAAACAAAGGCCTCACAATTGGAATGAAACACGTCCGCCAAAAAACGGACCAATAATAGGTTATAATTGCTGACAAGGTTGTTCTAAAGACCATAAAATTTACAAAATAATGACTTTAAAGGAGGTCGTCAAAATCTCTGTAACATCAACTCATCTTTCAGTAGCCTGCCTCGGTTTAAAAAAATGATCGTTCTCAAAGCATGATCATGAGATTAATAAGTTGGGAAACGGAAACATCATATGCAGGTAATTATGGCATATTACTACATAAATAAGGAAAATTGACAATGGAAATGCTGTAGTTTTGAAGTTTTTCAATATTTTACAATATTGTTGTCAGTTGATCCTTATCGTATGTAATCAGTAAAGCATCCAAATATGAATCAGATATGGCGGACTCTGTGATGTCTTTTATTTCAAGTTCACTGGGATATATCGAATCGACACATAAATGAATGTAACTATTGTAAATTGGTAAAACGACGTCGATATATCTATATGTCGAGTTGATAGCCACGACAAGTGTTTTCTCATTTTTATTGAAAAAATAGTTGTCTATGACATCAAATTCTAGTGTTTATTTTTTTTGTGAGGAATGGTTGTATAAGGTGAAGTTTAGAAATCCAGTATATGCAGGGTAGATCAAACTCAACTTGGTTGATTGGAATGAATAAAGTATCAAAAAATGAAATGTGATTTTGAAGAATTTCATCCTTAGAAAGTGAATTCTGAGTATATGTAGGATTTCCAGACATAGAATTAAAGCTAAATTCTTCTAAGATACAGTTATAATAATGAGCCTTACAGACAAAGACGATGTTGTTACAAGTTTTTTTTATGAGAATGGGAGATTATATTTTGTCTGGTTGCATAACTTGCTTGAAAAAGACAAAAGTGTAAATGAAAAAGCGTGTGAAGATAACGAACAGTGATCGATATCAAAAAAATCTATAAACAATATAAATTTGTGAAGAAGGCATAACACACGGACCCCTGGACATTCCAGAGGTGATATCAGGTGCCTAGGAGAGTAAGCATCCTCTGTTGACCAGTCACGCCCGCCTTGAGCCCTGGTGTTGATCAGGTAGACTGAACATTCCGTAATCAAATTCAGTATAAAAACAATGATTATTATACTTGCTAACAAGGTAATTATAACAACCATAGAATTTACGAGACACTGACTTTAAGCAAGATTATTGAAATCCCTGTAACATCAATTTATCTTTCAGAAACCTGCCTAGGTTTAAAAATTGATCGTATTCGGGGCATGTTCTTGAAATGACGATGGATAAGCTGAAGTCATCTCATTTGTCATACAATTTAGTTGTTAGTTGGCCCTTATAGTCTATAGTCAGTAAAACATCCAAATATGAAGCAGATGTGACAGACTCTATATCATATCGTCCTAAATTTATTTCAAATAAATTTTTACTTGCTTATATATAATGATTTGCTGGGTATAATGTAAATTCGCCCGCTATTTAGCAAAACCGGAGGATTAACTGCCTAGGATGTAATTGAAAGGTGTTTTGAAAGGTGTAAAATAAAAGATAATTCTGTATTTTTAACACAGTCATATTGTGACCTGATCAGAAGTGATACCTTGTTGAAAATGTTTATCTCCAACGAGGTCAAGCCGATGACAAATATTCAGGTTAAGTATAACCTAGCTATATCCTACGCATTTCTTTACAAATGGAACAAACAATTCAAAATTTTCTCACAAACCGACAACTCTTACAGACAGCATAATTCTTACCCTCCTCTCAATTGATAGGCAACAGTAATCAGAAACAAGAATTTCAAAATTATCAGGTAAGGTTACTTATTGTAATCAATATAAACGTTTCTTTAAAGAGTTCAAAAGATATGGGTTGTATAAATTGATTCGTGTGATAATAAACAGTAATTTATCAAGTATCGGGTAAGGGTTTAAAAATATAAAGTCTTCTTTGCAAACAGTGTAAGGTTTACGACATATTTTGCAGTAAGAGTGAAATATGGAGATAAGAACAGTATTCAAGCTCAAAGTCGATTTAGACAATACAAATCGGAAGCAGAGCAAACATGGACCTCCAAAAACATCAGAAGTGGGATCAGGTGACATGGAGTAGTGGACATCATCTGCCGACCGGTCACACCCGCCGTGTGCTCCTTGTCATGATCGGGAAAAATCTGTAGAAAATTCAGTGTGTAAAAATGGCCTAAAAATTAGTATGAAAAACGTCAGTCAGCATTTGACTTAAATACAGGTTGTATTTGCTGAGAAGGTCATTGTATCTACCATAAAACTTACGAAATGATGACTTCAAACGAGGATGTTGATATCTTTGTTTTATGGACTTGTTTTTCAAATAGCTTGCCTCGTTTTAGAAATTGTTCATACGTAGAGCATGCTCTTCCGTTTCGAATCAACTGGGAAACAAAAACCCATTATAAGATTATAAGGGTATATTGTTATACAACTACGGGAAGTTGACGATCGAAAAATTGAAGTCATCACGTTTATCATAAAGCTTTGCTGTTAGGTTACCTTTTAAGTCTTTTTCTTGTAGAATATCCAAATATGAATCAGATGTGTCAGACTCTGTGGTTTCCTTTTTCAAGCTTATTGGGATATATCGAGTCGACATATGACATATGAATGGAAGTAACTATTTTTTATTGATAATACGTCGTCGAAGTTGAAGGCCGCAGCAAAGCAAGTGTTTTCTTCTTCTCATGTAGATTTTTTAGATAAATTCTGCTTTATATGAATACAAAAAAAATCTGCTTACAAGGGTCCACAATTGGTACCCATAGTAATTCCAACAGATTGTTGAAAGACCTGTTGTACAGTACTCCTGAAGTTTCTCCTTCATTGCTGTAAATATTTTAGTGAGGACTAAAGAGGCTTGGTAGAACATTTGCTGGAACCCGCTGTGTATCCTTGTTTGTAAGGATTTTCATGGAGTTTTGGAATCCAGTATAGGTATGGTAATTCAAATTCATTTTGTTTGTTGAGAATATTAAAAAAAACATTTAAAACTGACATATGGTTTTGAAGAATTTCCTCTTTTGAAAGGGAGATATGGGTATAAGTTGGATTACCACTTGCAGAATTAAATCCTAGTTCCTCTAAAATACAATTCAAATAATGAACCTTACAAACAATGACAATGTTGTTACCTGCTTTGTCAGCTGGGACCAGTACATACTGATCGTGTAATCTAATTCCTTTTACTTCTACATTATCTAAGACAAAAGGATGATTTTCATATTGCCCCTCAGGCGCATAATGCGCTATTTTAACATCCATCTGATACATTTTATCCTGACGTTTTTCATACCTATTGTTAGGCCATTATTTACACACTGAATTGTCGACGATTTTTTTTTCGATATTTCCCGATCATGACAAGGAGCACACGGCGGGTGTGACCGGTCGGCAGGGGATGCTCACTCCTTCATGGCACCTGATCCCACCTCTGATGTTTTGGAGGTCAGTGTTTGCTCTGCTCCTATTTTGTAATGGACTTTTGAGCTTGAATACTGTTCGTTATCTCCATATATTCAACCATTCTGATAACGTTTCAAGGTCTTCTTTATCATATTTAGCCCATGGTCTGGTGTATTCTTCTACTGAATTCATAATATTTATTAAATTATGACGCCAGGTGAAAGATCGGGATTCCCTAAACTTCGGCCCTCTTGTAATAAGTGATTTAAGGTCCTCACTATGAATTGTATTTACGTCACCAGTAATGAAGTGTCCAGCAGGACATTAGTTGTAAGGTGAAAAAGAACATGAAAACGTTGAAGGATTATGTTTCAGATGCTCGATATCTAGGCACTGTAGAGGTTTTTTTTTATATAATTGAAAAGTTTGGAAGCAATTGTCGATGTATATTTGTAAGAAATACAAAGTGAAGTTTTTAACTTGAAATATGGTGGAATACAAGGCTGGACCTTTTTGTGATTAAGAATATTGTTTATATTAACTGCATCAATTCCTTTGTTCTTGGTATATTGAAGTTTAAGGAACATACGGGTTGTTTGAGCGGTATTTTCTTCCGCAAAACGTGGCGATTTAAAGACCCTATGATTTACAATATCCATTTTCACAGATCCAAGCCTGTATTCTGGTGTCGAAAAATCCAAATATGGACTTTCCTTGACTTTTACAAATAGACTGTTCAAAACTTTCAAAGGAGCAGAGTAAAATTTGGTGCGAATGTGACGAAGGCCTTACTGTTTATGTACATAAGGTAGTAGTGAATCAAAGGAGGCATTGTGTATAATAGGTTTATTATGAGAGCAATGTCCATGAATATTCTTACGTCTATGTGTACTGTTAGAAAGTCCAATCACATTCACATTGCTACGCTGTGGGCTTGACAGATTCCCAACACTATCGACATCGTCATTGCTACCATATGGAAAGATCGTGCCTACTTTTCTATTCCAGTATTCTTCTCGTTGTCTGTGGAAAGGTGTACTCAGTGATGGGTTATTAGATTTGGCTATTAGTATGATGGTAAATCTTTTGTAGAATTCGAACTTTCATTGACAAAATAGAATGAACAGGTAAATTGAAATGCTGGTATAGAAGCTGCTGGCCCCCGTTGTTAATTTGAAATATACGCCCCGATATTCTTTTATTTAATGAACCCTTGGTTTCACTAACATAAACAAGCCAAAAAGGGTACTTTCTATTCCGTAGAACAACATTAGAAGATTTGCAATTCAGATTTTCCCAAGTTTTGATAAAGAAGCCCTGTCCAGTAAGATTACTAGAAGACCTAGTACTCAAAATACTAGTATCACAGATTTACAAATTTTTCACAGAATATTTTGAAATAGAGCAAGTGGGATCGGAAAATAGTTTCTCTAATAGAAACTTTACATTCTTGCAATTCATTGTATGAACTATTGGTTTTATACCAAAACTTGGAATCTGAAGACTGCACATATGACATATGTATAATATCCCTGAGGATTATCTGAGGGGCACCGATTGAACTTCTAGAGTCTGCGTCCCTTATAGACTCAAAAGAGTGACGCCTTTTTATACTGATCGATGCGTCTGCCAGTATCATTTCGTTATTCTGCGTACTCATGAATGAATAAGTACCGAACGACAAGTATCCTAGGGGACAGACTGTTCACCAGCAGGGATACATGTTCGGTAGTGAAAATGAAATACAGATATAACGAACAGTATTCAGACTCAAAGTTCATTTAGACAATACAAATAGCTAGGGAGCAGAGCAAACATTGACCTCCAAAAACATCGGAAGTGGAATGAATAAATATTTGGGCAATCAATGTTCAATCATCTTGTGTTTTTATTTGTATGTTTGTATATTCAGGAATTAAATGACACATAGAATATTTTAGGATTGACAAGTAAAAATACACAAATAAAAAGTACAATTATCGATTGTTCTTCAGGTCAAGATCTAGTGAATAAATTTAGACGACCTTCTTGTGCCAGATTCATTATTACATCATACTGTGGAATCATTTAATATCGTGTGTGTGTGTGTGTGTGGGGGGGGGGGGTGTCAATGTTCGTGGACAAGCAAAATTTTATTGGTTCGTGGGGATGTAATTTCGTGGGCTGCTCGTTTATTCTGTAGATTCAATAAATGAATATGTTGACAAAATAATTGTTCGAGGGGATGTAAATTCGTAGGTAAGGGTGACCCACGAAATCCAGGAACACTGATCCCCCGCGAACAAAGATGATTCCACAGTATTTATTTCAAGCTTCCTTTATCAAGTATTTTATAGCTATCATTTAATTATGTAGAAAATGAAGAATTTCAACGGTATTCTATTTGAAATTATATGAAAAATAACTTGGATATCCATATTCAAACAAATATTATTTTAAAGAAGACATCAAGAACATACAAATAACCGTTTTCTGAGAAACTGTAGGCAATACATATCATTTGTGTGATATGGGGAAAAAGTTCCAAAATTATAGTTGATGTTCTTCTTCTTTTCATTGAAAATGATAATTTAAATCACATAATTTTGTGGTGATGCCATAGTAGACCTTATTTAACTAAGTAATATAATTAGGAACCATAAAACGAATTTGTGTCTTGTTTGAGAAACCTTTATGTTCTTTTTAGTAACAAACAAAATATTTCTTTATGAGACAACTCATTTTATAAAACTGCTAAAAATTCACGTACCCTATTCAAGTAGAAATGACAAAGCCTTATTAAAGATGGTTACAATCTGTAAAAACGGGAGAGTGATATCCTTCTTTAAAAAACGTTAACCTGCTTGCACAAGGTATAGACCCGCCCCCTTTTGGTATCTGATAGTTTCTGCATCTGTATACACTGGTCTAGACTCTTTCTGTTGTTATTTATCACTGTTTTATTAGCCTCCGTTGACTCCTTTACCGAATCAAACACCTTTCCTAATCCACTCACATTAGATTCTAGACTTTGAAAAATCAGTCTTGATATTCCTTACATCCTCATCCAGTCTGCTTACGTACGATTTCACAGAGTCGATGGATCCTCGAATCTCTCTCAAAGACACCATTTCGGCCTCAGTTGCTGTTAATCTGTTTTCCAGTTGTTCGTTTTTCAGTTCAATGTTTGTTAGTTTTGAATTCATTTGCAATAAGAGGCAGTGTATTGATGCCAAGGTCACTTCACACTTCACGTTTTCTTTGTTTTCACTACTTGTTTCATTGCCATATATAATGAAGTGACTTTCTGCTAAAAGCTTTGTAGTATCAGATGCCGACATATTTAATTTGAATGAAAATCAAAGAATCCAGAAAGTATCAAAATTCTAGCCACTTC